GACCTGAGCCGAAGTCGGACGCTCAACCAACTGAGCCACCCAGGCGCCCCTTGAGCTCTCTTTCTACTGTAGCCCTCTTGCCCTCAACCCCAATGTTTAGGCTAGGTGGGCACTGAACAGGGCCGTCTGAAAAGAGTGGCTGTTACTCAGGTCTCACCGATTAGCTCCACATGGAAACGTCATTCCAGTGATGCTAGGTCTTCTGTTATTTTGGAGCAGCTGCAAACCACATATTTAGACAAAACTTTCCAAATTTTTAACTCTTTAGAAGGCAAAAAAAAAATTTTCTGTAGGTTGGATCTAGTTTGTTTTTTTTTTAATTTCTTTTTTAATGTTTATTTATTCTTGAGACAGAGACAGAGCATGAACAGGGGAGGGGCAGAGAGAGAGGGAGACACAGAATCTGAAACAGGCTCCAGGCTCTGAGTTGTCAGCACAGAAACCGACGTCTGGCTCGAACCCACGAACTGTGAGATCATGACCTAAGCTGAAGTTGGACGCCCAACCAACCGAGCCACCCAGGCGCCCCTGGATCTACTTTTTTTGAAACCCCTTCTAGGTTCTTTACTCAGCGGGTATATAATAGCTTTTTCTTTCATGTTCTCCACCCCAAATAAGGAGGAAGAAACAGGTTGCTGGGCTCTGGGGAACAAATTTCAAACAGAAAACCTGTTAGTTTTCTCACCTGGGCCCCCTGGGCAGTGCAGACTAGATAGGTTTGCCACCTAGCATAACCTGGGGTGGTGCATCCTGTAGACCTGGAACCTTCCCTGTGTGTGTGTGTGTGTGTGTGCGCGCGCGTGCACGCGTGCGCACGCGCGCCCATAAGGAGCTAGTTATCAAATGCCCCACAGATGGTGACATTTATTGACCTAAGTGGAAAAATCCATATTGGTTACACATGTAAATTACTAGTTTTAGTACCATTCAGGCTTCATCCTCATATATATTCTCCAATACGGGAGAATCAAAGTTAGCTAAATAGGGATGACATTTATTGATAACTGCTTCCAAGTGACATCTGAGGCTATAACTTCAAACAACATCCCTTCTACAATGATTTGTTGAGCATCAACCACATGATGCTGTCTTCACCCTTTTTCATCCGGTCCTCCTGGTGACCAGTAGTGTGAATATACTGGGGTACAGTGAGTGGCAGTGAGAGCAAAAAGGCTCCTGTGGGTTCTGGGACGTGTGCCTTTGTCCTAGTGAGTCCATGGCTTTATCAAATGATCGCATCAGCAAAACCTCATTCGGAAAACTAAACACCCAAATTGACCATAATTTTATTAACTGTCTGTCAAGGGCAGAATACTATGAACCACCTATAGGTTCACCTATAGGTTAAAGAGAAATCAACAACCAAACCAGGTGGAGAATTTAACACTCTTTCTTTCAGCTTTTCTTTATTCCACTGAGTCCTACCAAGCTGAATTCGGTAAACTCAAATTTCCTGGAAGAATTCAGATTAAGTAACAACATGTAATAAGCAATAATCATAACGGGATTTTTCCTACCCAAATTTACATCTTTAATATGTTTTGTGAGGATACCCTGTGTTTTACTCTTTCCTGCCATGACAAGTCTAGCCCGCTGTCTCTCCCCTGGCTTGTTCCAGCTCAGGGATTTAATTTATGTTGTAAGTAAACGAAGTGTTGACGTTAGACGGCACGCAGCTCAAAGACTGACACCCTCTAGACCCAGCTAGCCACATCCAATCTGAGGGTGCACAATTCATTTCTCCTGGAAATGAGTGCTAGCCCTCAACACAGCCCTCTGAAGGCACAAAGGAAGACAAATACCTGACTGTTCTTGGGGCGGACACTGCCTCCGTGCTAACACACATTGTAGCTCTTGTCTTCAGTTAGTTTTTCTGACACACAATCTCTTCAAGTCTTCCCCATGTCGGGACTCAAACCGCATAATCCTCTATTTTGTGATCTAATTGAGTGGAAATCCTTTCCCTTGGTAATGGAGAGCTTTAGAGCACTAGAAAAAAAATGCAAATGCCTTTAATATTATGCAATATGCTGTTTTCCTGGGGTGAGCATTGAGACTTTAATGGGAAAATGATACTAACTCGGAAACTTAATCTTTTTCAATTTCTATTTTGCTCTTTCATATCGAGCCCATTCTCTTAGGTCACACACAAATGTTTTCTCCATGAATGCGGATCATGCAGACTATCTACTGTAAGGATTAAGTGAGTTCACGTGTGTAACGGACCCAGAACAGGAGCTGGAACATGGTTAGTAGTCAAATCTTGATGATGATGATGATGATGATGATGATGATATAAACTTCCCTGTGGAGTTTTGTCACCTTGCTTGTTTAGGCTGTGCACCCCGTGCCTTGAATTCTGTGTCAGAACCTCTAGTGATAATACTTAGGGCAGGAGGTTTTCCCTACCTGAAAGCTGCAGAATACCACTTCATGTCGACGAGCATCCTGCCTCTCGTCGTCAGTTGTACCTTGCAGGTGCTTCCAGATTGGGACTTGACCAATGCATCAGCAGATGTTTGCTGAATGCTTATTATGTGGGAGGCACAGGTTTGCAAAATACTTTTGGGAATCTTCCTTGCTCTAAAGGAGTTGATCACATAGGTAGAAAGACAAAACAAAAGGTGAATTTAGAAGATATTAAAACACAACAGAATAAAAACTAGAGCAAGACTGAAGTGTGTTCAGGAGAGACAAATGAGTGATGCAGACACGGTACTTCTGAGGAGGGCATAACTTATGCCAAATGGAGTAGAGTCAACAGGTCTCAAACGAGAAGTGGGTCTCAGAGTAATCCTCAGATGTGGAGGATTTCATTCAGCAAGCTAAAAGGTTAAATCCTGAAATACTAATTTATGTGCTTGCCAGACGTTCTGTTCCCTGTGACCATTTTCCCCTCTTCCAGCCTCAGTGAAGCAAACACAAAGGCTCATAGAAAAGTCCATTCTAAGTGGGGACCTTTTAGGGTACATGGAGCTGAGTTTTACCTCCATCTTTAAATAAAACTGTATCAGGAAAAGGGAGAGGGGAGGGCTGACCGATAGCGGGGAGGAGAAGAATGGGGTATGTACCAAAAGAAGGACCTGCCAGCTCCAGAACCAGGGAGCTGAACAGAGGCAGATTGGGCACTGGTTATTGTCTAAGGAGGACCTCCAAGAGCCTTTGGATAATGGCCTACTCTTTTCTCTCTTACTTATTGCTTGTGGATTACCCGCCCTCTTTAGGTGCTAAACTTCCATACGTCCATTTTCTACCTCACCTCTAACAGACGTGAGAGGGCATAGACAATTTATGGAATGGAGGACCCTGGAGTCAAAGTAGGATCCAACAGAACCAATCAGGAATACCCCTTTGACTGAGGACGTTAATGACCACCGTGTCCCTGATTATACACAGAAAAGGACAGTATAAAAACTAGCGTCTAATGTGTTTAGAAGAGGTAGATTTGCGGGGCGCCTGGGTGGCGCAGTCGGTTAAGCGTCCGACTTCAGCCAGGTCACGATCTCACTGTCCGTGAGTTCGAGCCCCGCGTCAGGCTCTGGGCTGATGGCTCAAAGCCTGGAGCCTGTTTCCGATTCTGTGTCTCCCTCTCTCTCTGCCCCTCCCCCGTTCATGCTCTGTCTCTCTCTGTCCCAAAAATAAATAAACGTTGAAAAAAAAAATTAGAAGAGGTAGATTTGAATAGCTGGTAAGTGTATAAACAGTGCCTCTGACAACCGGACTCTTAACTTTTATAAAGAGTTTGTCCCATGAGGCAGATACTATGTTCAATCACACATAAAGTCTTGAGAATTGCCTACAGACACGTCTTCTGTAACCACCTTAATCTCTTATTGTAACCAAATCGTAAAATACTATTCTTTTAGGATTGTCTCGAAAGATCATCACCACATGGCTGTCCGGTAGAAGTGAAGAAATACCATGTAGCGATGTAATTAACACAGGGTTTCAGGAGTGAAATGCTACAGCTGGCTCGTACAGCAGATGGTTTAACAACTGCCAACATGCAGAGAGAGAAAAGCTGAGAAATCAGCTTGTCCTTTATTTACTTTTGGACCTGTACTCTCTTTGTCAGATTCCAGCCAGCTGAAAGATCCAGTGATCATCCGTCCATCCATCATCCGTCTATCCATCCATCCATCCATCCATCCATTCAACACATATTTACTGAATGACTACTATGTACTAGGAATTCATCTACAAGCAAGGATTTTTGGCAGTGGGGAAAAATACAGAGAAAAATTCCTGGTATCATAGTGCTTATACTTTAGTAGGGGCCGATAGAAGAGAAATAAAATAAATAGGTATAAAATAAAGCAGATAAGGGGAAAAAAAGAAAATGAGAAAGGGACGTGGAAAGGGACAGGGTCAGTCCCTTGAGGCTTAAATTTAAAAAGAACGGTCAGGGGGCTCCTGGGTGGCGCAGTCGGTTAAGCATCCGACTTCAGCCAGGTCACGATCTCGCGGTCCGTGAGTTCGAGCCCCGCGTCAGGCTCTGGGCCGATGGCTCAGAGCCTGGAGCCTGTTTCTGATTCTGTGTCTCCCTCTCTCTCTGCCCCTCCCCCGTTCATGCTCTGTGTCTCTCTGTCGCAAAAATAAATAAACGTTGAAAAAAAAAAATTTAAAAAGAACGGTCAGGGAAGACCTCTCTGGGAAGGTGACTTAGAGTGAAGGCCTGAGGGAGCCCATCATGGAGTGAGCCATGGGGATAGTTGGAAGTGTTCCAATAGTAAATCATCAAGGACAAAGTCCCTGAGCTAGTTTACGGTACATAAGGGCTATTGTGTGAGCAGAAAACTGGATTTGTCTGAATTTCAATGATTCTGATATGCTTATATCAGCAAATGACCCATGGCGAGCCTTTGGTCAAGGTACCCTTACATCCACTCTATGTTTAAAGATATGTATTGCCAAAAGATGCTTAAGCTAAATATTGACTTAATTTTCCCATATACATACATTATGTTCCTGTCTGGAAATAGAGTACCAAGTCATTTCAGCAGGATTGGAAGTTTCTCCGATACTGGAAAAGGCTGTGCCACTCGGTGCCTAGGAAGTTGGGGATGGCAGACAGTGACCACGATTCATGACTGCCTATTGACAAATTAGAACAGAAATTGTGATGACCTGCCCTCATTCTAATGCAAATCTGTAACAAGCAGAGGAGCAAGGAAACTCTTTCCAGTGTCATGCCCCCTTTCCTATGCCCCTTATTAGATTTACATAACTCTGCAATCTTTCACGGAGGTCAGCACCCAGCATGCTCTGCCTTTTAACTGGCATCATTAATCAATGTGATGTTAATCCAAGAGAAACAGCTATCACACAGGGCAAGTGGTAGGAACCAACCTTGTTGTCTCACGGATGAAGGTGACATTTTTGATGGCAGGGTTTATTCGCCCCTGCGCACTTCACCCCCTCAGCAGGTCTGACGAGGCCAGTAGCTCACTTCGACAAAGCTGCCTTCAACCTCTAATCTCGGCCACACTCCTGCTGCCACAGTGCTCTGATGGGTGGGCCCTCAAAGTGGACATTGGAAATCTGCAGATGTCAAGAAGCTTCGTGTCCTATTCCCCGGCAAGAGACGACCATCTTCATTGGAAGCCACATTCCTGGTGCTCTCAGGGAATTCCGTTTGAGTGCTTTCATATTTGTGGAGCTAAAACCGCAAACACATTTGTCTTTTCGTAATTGTAGTTTACACGGTAGAGCAAAGTGGGGTAGAACTCCATCATCTGTACCGTGAGCCAGTTTGGGGGTCTACTAGCCCTCCCAGCTTGTAGTTCAATTATTGGTGAGTGATCTTACAATTTATTTGTCATGGTGCCTGGCATGTTTAGAAGAACATGTGTTATGTAAATTACACATCTGGCTTCTCCCAAATCCTTTTTCCACCTGTCTTCTTCTTCTTATTATTTTTACCAGAAGTAAAGCATTTCTGCGTGTGTGTGTGTGTGTGTGTGTGTGTGTGTGTGTCTGCGTGAAGGTAAATGGGTAGACAGAGTTCTGATTCAGAAGATAGGAGATGGACTTCTTCCCCACCCACACTATACTACACGTTTCCGGGGGCTGGTGGGGGGGGGCGGGCATTTGTCCACACCTCACTTAATCTCTGCCTCAATTTCCTCATCAGTAAGAAACGGATACCTTTTTCCAAAAAAGGCTTTTATGGGAATAAAATGAGCTGATACATGTAAATAACATCAAGGCTATACGTTTTATCACAGCTTTAATGTATTGATCATTATGAGCACAGATGGAACCCCCAGGTGTTAACTTCGCAGCTTTGGGGAAATTATTTTAAAAACTACCTGTTACTCCAAAAATTATTGTTGTTTAATAATAAAATTATTTAAAAATTATTTTCTAACTCCCCTGTGGGGGGAGGGCAGGTTTTATGCAAATGTGCGGGCCATCATTTGACAAAAGCTCGGTCAACAGCAGCTATCATGGTTTGCTTGGGACGTGGGAAGTGTGCCAAAGTTCTGAACAAGGCAAAGCCCCAGAAACCCAACTTCGGGAGACCTCACCCTGTGCTGGAAGCCTGGGATCAGGGCAGTGGTGTGGCAGCCTTCTGTCCCCAGGGGCTCTGCTTCCTGCTTCAGGCTCTATGGCTGGTGGCTCCGCCCTTTCCTGGCTCGGGTGTGGACACGCTGGCCTCGGTCCCTCTCTGGGCCGGCACTGGGGTGGAACAGGAGAACAGCTTCTTTGACAACCCCTCCCTCAGAAATGAATTCCAAAGCCTAACCGCAGATTTCATTCATCTCAACAAAGGATTACTTCTATTCAGTTTTATTGACTGCTTAGGAATTATGAACAGTACAGTCGTATTCGCATTCAAGGGAGATCTGAGCAATAGCCATTTTGCTGGTTGGAGTTCAATGCCTGAAATGTTTTCCCTTCTCCCAGGTGCTGCACCTCAGGACTGTTGTCTATGGTCAGGGCACTCAACACGAGAGACTTGTGCACAGTATACAAACTTAAACAAAATTTTTTTTTTTTCAGGGGCGCCTGGGTGGCTCAGTCGGTTGAGCTTCCGACTTGGGCCCAGGTCACATCTCACGGTCCGTGAGTTCAAGCCCCGCGTCACGCTCTGGGCTGAGAGCTCAGAGCCTAGAGCCTGCTTTGGATTCTGGGTCTCCCTCTCTCCGCCCCTCCCTAGCTCACGCTCACTCTCTCTCTCTGTCAAAAATAAACTTGAAAACAAATTTTTTTTCTTTAATGTGTATTTATTTATTTTTCAGACAGAGAGAGAGCAAGTGGGGGAGGGGCAAAGAGAGGGGGAGAGAGAGAACCCAAAGCAGGCTCTGTGCTGTCACCTCAGAGCCTGGCTCTGGGCTTGATCCCACAGACCGGATCGTGAGATCATGACTTGAGCCGAAATCAAGTCGGACACTCAACTAACTGAGCCACCCAGGTGCCCTACCAACATTTTTTTTTTTTTTTTAAAGCTAGAATGTTTCCTTTCTCCAATCTGCGGACATTTATTGGCTAATGCTTAAACTGCACGTGACAAGAACTTTTAAATTATAATTCAGTAGGAAATCAATCATCAGAAGTGTATGAAAGTGTGCCTAATACTGTAAGTCAGACAAGGGCTAGATGACACGAAAAATAATTGTGTTGTTTGGTATATTTGAGCAAACATTTATTGAATGCCTACTCAATAACAGGTGCTATGCTTGGCATTGAGGAGACAAAGATGAGCAAGACATAGTTCCTATCTTCAAAAAGCCCATAAAGGGGTTGGGGGTGACGTAGGTGGGGCACAGCAAACCAACATTTTCTTTCTTTTTTTTTTTTTAATTTTTTTTTTTTTAACATTTATTTATTTTTGAGACAGAGAGAGACAGAGCATGAACGGGGAAGGGTCAGAGAGAGGGAGACACAGACTCGGAAACAGGCTCTGGGCTCCGAGCCGTCAGCCCAGGGGCCCGACGCGGGGCTCGAACTCACGGACCGCGAGATCGTGACCTGAGCCGAAGTCGGCGCTCAACCGACTGAGCCACCCAGGCGCCCCGCAAAGCCACATTTTCAATACATAAATGTGCTGGAGGAAAACTCAGGAGGTCGTGGAAGCCAGAAATGGAATCTCTGATCTACAAGTTCAGAGAAGGCTGCCCTGGGGCCCGCGTGGCATGTGAGGACCAAAGGAATCAGCCAGAAAAATGGACCGAAGGGTGGGCAAGAGAGGGAGGAGTCTGCCTTTGGGTGAAGAGCAAGGCAACAGCCCAAAGATACAAAACACGCCTGCAGATAAAGAGACAAGGAAGGTGTGTGGCAGGATATAGGGGAAGATGAGCCTGGAGAGAAAAGATAGGCAGTGTAGACCCAGGGAGTCTGCGACACCTGCTATGGGATTTGGAGTTTACTCTCAGGTAGGTGGTGGTTGGAAGAGGCTGAGAGTAGCTCCCTGCACATGGGCCCATCCCTGGAAGATCCAGGGATATTTTTTGCGATAAAGCCCGTCAGGCCACCAAGTGTAAAGGAATGTCAGAAAGGCCCACACCTAGGAAGGCTAGGCTGCGTTGTCCTTAGCAGCTGATAAACATGATGACTTCTGCTTCCAAGCATCGTTTGTGTTCAGTGCTTGCTACTAAACTTTCTTTTCCAAATTTTAACTCCACGTTTTTATAAGCACTGAGCTAGATTATTTTAACACAGTGCTTTCCAACTTTAAAATTTTTCGTGTTAAAAATAATGAGAGCCCACACTAGGATGAAGCGACAAAGCTGTTCTCAAGTTAAGGGCAATTTCATCCTTCACTTGCCTTTTCCCCAAGGCTTTAAGTGCAAGAGGTGAGGACAAAAGCCACGTCTTGGGTGCCAACCATTTGAGACAGAGCCACGACTGATCGGAAACCTTTGTTTTAACTTTTATTCCCCAATCCTCTCATGTGTGCATTTTACTCAACAATTGCTTACTACGTACCCACCGTGGGCACACAGGGCGCTGGATGTGGGCTGCAGTGGGGAGCAAGATAAATGGAATTTCTGTTCTCAAGGAGCGAAATAACTGGCGGTGATGGTGGTTGGGGAGTGAGGTGGACTTGGAGAAATAAATAGAAATTACTGGAAAGCATGTCAAATGTGACGATGGGAACACTATATTTGGTAGCACACAACAAAAGCACGGTCCTAGATTGGGCGGCAGAAAAGGCTTCCCTACAGGAATTGACATTTCAGCAGAGAGCTAGAGGATGTGTAGGAGTGAGCCAAACAAACAGAAGGAAGAAGAGTGTTCCAGGCAGAGGGACAGCTTGAGTGAGAGTTCCAAAGGCAAGTGGGAACGTGGCACTTGCAAGAATCCAAAGGAACTCCCTGTGGGGGAGGGGAGCACTTAGACGTGAAGGGTTAAGAGCCCGAAGGAAACTGCGGCGGGTCAGGGAGGGCTTTGGCAGCCATGGGAAGCAGCTCTTCGCCTCCTCTGACCAAGGGAGGCTTTAAAATCCCTTCCGTGCTTTACATTTGAGAACAGCGACTCTCAGAGAAGTTAAACTGCTTCCCTAGAATCAAATGGCTTTAGGTCGGCCAGGCCACTGTGTCTTTGAAGAAGACCAGAATCAGGCCTTGACACAGGATTTCATTCTCTGGGGGATGAGCTGAGGAAACACCAGGAAGAGAGTGGACAAGGGCGAAAGAGGAGAGGCAGCTAATGAAAGGTGAGGTCGCGAGCAGGTATCAGCTGGGTAACTGGGCTGTCACCCCAGGAGAAACTCAACACTTACCTTGGAGTTCCTGCACCTGAGGGAGAAGGGAGCTGCAGACCCCAGTTCCTGATGGTTTTGGGTTGAAGACCACCACAGAGGTGGGGGGGGGGGGAGATATTCATTCTCAGGTGCTTCGGTCTGTCACGGGGAGATATTCAGAGAACTCCCTCCGGCAAAGCCACGCAGTGTAGAGATTCAGGCATTCGGAAGGCTGGTCTGTGTGCACTGTGGTTCCGAGGCTGAGGGCATGGGGACCACAATGCCGCTGCACAGTTCCAGGGCCCCGGACATCGGCGTCCCAATCCTGAGTCCTTATGTCACGCCACACTTGCATTCGCCTGAATGCCACCTGGCTGTCTGGTGAAAGATGTGCAGCTACGGAATACTCTGGCACTCTGTGCTGAGGCCTCAGCAACTCTCAGGCTCAAGGCCTATGTGTCCTGCATCCCAGGACAGACTTCTCGGTGTTCCCTTCTTTACTCTGGTATCTCGGGGCTGAGGGAGAACAGGCCGTGGCGAAGGACCTGTTAATTGGAAAGTGTCGAGTTTAACTAAGGAAATGAAAGAAACTCAACAGAATGAGAATTTAATGAGAAATAGGGTATGGAATGACCTCAAGCACTAGGCTTAAAAAAAAGTTGGACCAATTAGGGTAAAGTCATTTGGTTTGGGATTTGGGGGGCAGGCTGACTCAGAGCAGTTTTCCAGAAATGAATGAGTCATAAGTTTTGGGGAATCTGATATTCAGTGGCTTAGTTTGGGGGCTAAAAATGTTCATCGTAGTTTATCTTAATAATTTGTCTTATAAGAGGCCATGGGACAGAAGAGGGAACAGGGTCTGGCCCAGCTTTTCCTTCCCAGCTTTCTGCCTTCATCACACATTCATTGTGGTAGGCACTGTGGATTTAAACGTCATCCTTACGGTTCCGGTGCTCAAAGAGCTCATAGACTAGAAGAGGACAGAGAAGGGCACGCTGCCTAACAAGTTATGGGACCTTGGGACAGTCCATCTGCCTTTCTGGGTCTCTTTCATTAAGAAGGGCCTGGATGGATGAGATCAGTGGTTCTCAACCCTCTAGTAGAAGCACTCGGAGAGCTTTAAAAGAATGCCAGTGCCCCGGATGGCTCCGTACCCAGAGATTCATTCTGTCTACCTGCTCTGGGGTAGGGTCCCAGCACAGGTATTTCTCAAAAAGCTACCAAGGTGATTCTGCTGTGTCGTTGAGGTTAAGAATCACTAGATGATAACTTTCAAGTTTTTGGTAACTGAGAAACTCTGGCTTTCCCTGAACAGTTTGCTCTCTGTTTATCTCAGCAGAAGGTAGAAGCTAGTAGCTGGAAATCGGGTTCCTTATTGGGGACTGGTATAACCATAGCATGAGAACCCTGGAGCTCTGGGTTAGGCGACCACATGTCGCCAGGACGCTGAGTGGAGAGTTTACCTCAATAGGATGCATAGAAAACTCATTCCAGAAATAACAGGTGCCCGATTTTTTTTTTTTTTTTTTTTTGTTCCTCAGAAGACACATTCTTAATGCCACCAACTAATTATCATACCAAGAAAACAAAAACTGTGAGGAAGAGCAGAGGCGGGTTCGCAGTGCCACCGAATCGTACAAATAATGACTCACTCTTGTTCGAGGCTGAGGCATCTTTGCGGCATTTCTCTGAGAAGTGCTCGGTGGTTGCTTCGCAAAGGAAAGAGGGCAATGTACTTTGCTGTGGGCCTGAAGCGAAAGGGAAATCTTCTCCAGTCTCCTGCATCCTCTGGTTGGATTCAAACCACGCCTCCCAGTGAACTTTCCATGGTCGGAATCGAGAGCAGTTGGCTTCCCTATCCCTGTTCTGGCTTGTTCTCTATACTAACAACCTCTCCTATTACGTAGAAGGCAATTAAAGGATGAGCTGAGAAGCTGGCATCTTTCCTTTAAAGTAAAAGCCAGAAGCTTATGTTTTACTGGTGACAGTCTCCTGAAAAAACAAATTTCTTATTAGTAATGGCATAGGAGCCATTGGAACAATCTCAGCTCATGGTTAGCTTGGAGCCTGCCTCGTGCTCTTCCCAAGTCCTCTCTGACATACGGCAGACAAAGCCTCTCCCTAAGAGCACCAACACCACATAAGTACCTCACCTTGTCTTTTTTTAAAATTTATATTCAATTTATTTAAACGAAGAAGAAGAAGAAGAAGAAGAAGAAGAAGAAGAAGAAGAAAGAAAACATTTCATTTCTCAACCTCTGCCTCTTTGCCATCACCAATCTGTTCTCGGTATCTATGAGCTTGTTTTTGTTTTTGAGATTCTACATACCAGAGAGATTATATGGCATTTGTCTTTCTCTGTTTGACCTATTTCATTTAGGATGAACCTAGAATTCTCTGCAGGAACTGATTCTTTAGGGCAAGTTGAGGAAATGACTTGGAGGCATGTATAAATTGCCTGTACTTTTCCTTGCCGGCTGCCAAGCCAGTATTGTTCCATCTAGTGGAATGTGTACAAAAAGCCACAGGAACCGCATCTATCTATCTATTGATAAATTTCTTGTTTCATTTTCTGCAGAATGTTCAGTGGCCACTTGGAATCATGGGATTGGATAAATCGATTGATTCCAAAGGTGCCCTCAATTTCAAAGACAGAGGCCTGTATCTTCCCGATGAACACTTGGGTGGGTTAAAACTTACAGTGACGTATGTAACCCCTCAAAGCTAGTTTCATAATATACAGTAGGGGCAGGTAACAAGGGCATCAAAAATGGGAATAGAATTTTCTAATTTGTACAGTCTTCCACTTAAATTATTATTTTATCTGAAAAGCAACGCATGTTCTTGTAGAAAATACAGAAAAAGCAGGAATAAGATTTTAGAAATCACTATATTCGTACCCCCAATAATGAACATTATAGCTTGTTACATTTTCTTCTAGTCTTTTTTTCTTCATGTGGCTTTTTGGTAACATACATTTACGTATCTGTGAATGTTTATATGGCAACACATGTATATGTGTAACAATATAATATTTAGTAGGCAAGTAAACCTTTCTGGGATTTCAATGTCTTTATCCTCATGCTGGGGATAACCACAGCACTTACTCAACTGCGAGTATTAAACAAGTTAATACAAAGAACAGTTAGAACATGCTTGTTACGTATCAGCATTCTTTGAAGGCTAGGTATTATTTTACTACTATAATGTAATTGTGCATCCTGCTTTTTCTCATGTAGCTTATAATGTGCACTTTCCCACATTTGTATATACTTATCACAAAATGTCCTTTGCAATGGCTACATAATATCCTACTGACATCGAATTATTTTTAATTGAACAATATGATACTTCTCCATATTTCTTTCTATAAAGCTGGGTGGAAGATTTTTTTTTTTCAGGCTAGATAGCCTAGCCAAAATACCATAAACTAACACTCAAATCTTTCTGAATGGGTTGCCAAATAGAATCCCTAGTTAAAATTGAAATTCAGGTAAATAAAACGAGCCATTTTTTAGCACGTATGTCCCCAAATTGCACGGAATGTACTTATGCTGGAATATTATTTGTAGTTTCTCTGAAATTCAAATGTAACTGGGCTGTCTGTATTTCTATTTGTTAAGTCTGGCCACCCTAGGCAGCGGATCTGTTTATCCTGCCTAATTGATGCTACTTTTTCAAACAAGAAAGTAGTTTTCATTCTTATGGGCAACCCACCATTTGGTAACAGCTCAGCAGAAAACCAATGGGAAGAAAAAAAGGAAAGAAAAAAGAAAGACACGTGGTATCTACAGACTCAAAAAGATCAAAGTAATCACAGTGTGCCTAACCAAAATTATTAAATGTGTAAAAAAAGGAAAGTATTTATGAGTAGCTATTAATTTTCTGTTTTGAAAGTACTGCAGGGAAATTCACTCTGGTTTTGCAGATGATCATTAATACTGCTTGTGATTTACAGGGTTGTTTTAGGCTGTTGGCTTCTCAGATAGAAGATGGTCATGGGGCAGCTCACACCTGCTCATACTTTTGGGAAACTCAGCTGAAGATTTAGCCAAAGGCCAAACCATCTGTTGCCAGTTTCTTGAAGAATAGAAACTCTCTCCCTAGACCCCATCTGCAGGGACCTTTCTCGGCCATTTGTAGACCGGTGGGGTTCTGAGAGAGGTTTCCCAAAGGCTTTACACAAGAAAGAAGGCATCATGGGGCGCCTGGGTGGCTCAGTCAGTAAAGGGTCCCACTTATGCTTAGGTCATGATCTCACAGTCTGTGGGTTCAAGCCCTGCATCGGGCTGAGAGCTCACAGCCCGGAGCCTGCTTCGGATTCTGTGTCTCCCTCTTTTTCTGCCCCAACCCCTGCTTATGCTCTGTCTCTCTCTTGCTCTCTCAAAAATAAATAAACTTTAAAAAAAAAAAAGAATGAAGACATCACAAGACCTCTGAGGTCTGGAAGAATCAAAGGGTCCTCTATGAGCCATTTGCTGCTTACTCAGCGATGCTCCAGCATTTGCATATTAGAGGGGCTTCTTAGAGCTGCAAATGGTTGGAAAGGGGGGCTCAGAGCCTTGGCTTGAAGCTGCCCTTTCAGAGCAAAGTACAATGTCTTTCCTTAGACGGGATGTTTCTTTGGGACGGCTGAAGGAACAGGTGAGAAAAGGGGTGGCGGTGGCAGCTTGTGGGTGCCCCCCCACGCTCCATGTCGTGGCTGCTGGCATCATTAGCAGTTGGCACGGGGTTTGAAGGATGAAAAAAAAAAAGGAAAGGCTAGTGCTCTTAAATATGATTTAGAAGATTGAAACAGTACTGGGGAGAAAGATTTCTAACCAGATCGCGCAAAGCACATGCCGTCACCGTAATTTCTCTCATTTTGTTTTCATCCAGAGACATCCATCTGCAAGTCTGACCATGTCTCATCCGAAGACCCCTCCCTGGCATCCCACTGCTGGAGAGATCAAAGCTGGGCATGAATGTGGGTGTGATACAGGTAGCCCCCACCAGCTGGTGACCTCCGGCAGGGTCTCCTCCCATCGTACCTGACACCTGCTTGCCTCACGTCCAACCCACCAGTAATACTGACTGAGTTTTGTAGGACAAAATACTATTTCATGCCTCCGTTTGGATTACTGTTTTCTTTGCCCAAAGAAATCGCAGTGCCACCCATCTCTCCACCTGCCCTTGTCCTAAGGGCTGCCTGGTGACCTCCTACTTGTCCTTTAACCAGCCCAGATGTCAGTTTCCGCAACACCTTCTCTTTACAACTCCTGACACCCTAGGGTTAAAAGCTCTCTCCTTTATGCATCCTTCTTACACTTTGTTGTATCAGAGTTTTTGTTCATTTTGTTTATGCATGTTCCTTCCGCTCATAAGCTTGTTGAGGGCAAGGACCATCTTTTTATTCGTCTCTCTTTCCCCAGTGACTAGGCAAAGCCCAATACATCATAGCAATCAGTATTTGTGGGATGAATGAATCCTATTCTAGATTTTAGGTTTAGCACTTATTTAATATTCAGTAAATGTGAATTTATTCTATTAAAGTAAATTATTTAAGGCACCCATGAATGGATAAGGAAAATGTGTGTATATATGTGCACACACACACACACACACACACACACACACACACAATGGAAAAGTACCCAACTATGCAATCTTGGCATTTGCAACAATATAGATGGACCTAGAAGGTATATTGCTAAGTGAAATAAGTCAGGCAAAACAAGACAAAGACCATATGATTTCACTCCTATGTGGAATTCAAGGACAAATTTGACAAAACAAAGAAAAAAAATGACAGAAAAGCAAAACAGGCTCTTAAATACCGAGAACAAACAGGTGGTTGCCAGAGGGGAGGTAGGTGTGGGAATGGATGAGATAGATGAAAGATATTAAGAGTACACTTATCTGGGGGCACCTGGGTGGCTCAGTTGGTTAGGCATCCGACTTTGGCTCGGGTCATGATCTCATGGTTTGTGGGTTCGAGCCCTGTGTCAGGCTCTATGCTGACAGCTCAGAGCGCCTGCTTGGGATTCTGTGTCTCCCTCTCTCTCTGCCCCTCCCCTGCCCACGCTCTGTCTCTTTCTCTCTCAAAAATAAACATTAAAAAAATTTTTTTTTAAAGTACACTTATTTTGATATAAATAAATAAATAAATAAATAAATGTAAATCATTTGACAAATTTTAAAAACCTGTCCTCTCAGCTGTGCCATAGGGCAAACTTTGTAAATAGTGATGCTCTTTCTAGGTCCAGAGTTTGAGATCCAAAACATAGCTGTGCACATTTTAGCTCCTGGCTAGGCCTTTGACCCTGTGATTTATGGATGATTGTATCTTTTGAATTTCCAATATAGCCTACTGCAAACTTCTCCGACAGCTCAGTCAGGTAAAGAAAGCAAACACGTGAAGTCTGATTTAAACCTTCTTGGTCTGTTCGGGCTGCTGGTTAGATTAGAAGAGAGGTTACAGGACAGGGGGTGTTAGTAGGGTACAAGTTTTTCGCAGACAATGGTAAGACCACACAGTCAGTGGTGAAACAGAACCAAGAAAATCCTAGGTCAGAGAAATCCTAGGTCAGAGAAATCACAGTGCTCACATTATGGAGACTAACTGCCCTCATACTCTCTATCAACACAAGACTTTGTGTACCTGCTAATTCTCTGATTCAAGTCTCAGTTTGGTGTGAGGTGTTAGTCATTTTCTGGCCTTCTTGAACTCACACATAAATAAATCCTTCCTTGGAAACGGAAAAGTGGATTGCTCGTCAGTACCCCTCCAAGACTTCACTGAACCGAGAGTGATTCATTCTGGGTGGCAGCAAAATCTCTTTGACTAATATCTCATTGAAGTCATGCAAATGACTAATGGAAAGTTCTCCGGAGAAAGTTCTCTGGAGAAAGTCAGTTGGTTGCTTGTAACTTTCTTGAGCCTGTGTGAGGAATCCTCGAGACCTGCTCTCGAGTGGTCCTGTTTTTCATTTTGATGAGAACTTGTTAATTCAAAAAACTGCTTAAAAATGGCCTAAAAAGTTTATGTTGGCTCTAAAAGTTTGTGTTTGCTCTTCTCTCAATTTTAAGCAGGAGGGCTTATGGTTTTAAGCAGATTTTATAGCTCGAGTGTATCCTAAAATTAAACAATAGCATCTAAATCTGTGCCTATGTTATTAGAGCTGGATGGAGTAGATGGAATTTGCAATACTTACAACTTGGCTCCTGGATTGAGAACAGGGATTCTTAGCTGTTATTGGTATTTTCTTACTCCCTTCCCCCATTATGCATTATCCCAGTTCTTTTTTTTTTAATTTTTTTAAGGTTTATTTATTATTTTTGAGAGAGAGAGAGAGAGAGGGCGGGAGGGAGGGAGAGCACTAGTGGGGGAGGGGCAGAGAAAGAGGGGGACATAGAATCTGAAGCAGGCTCCAGACTCCAAGCTGTCAGCACAAAGCCCGATGCAGGGCTCGAACCAACGAACCATGAGATCATGACCTGAGCCAAAGGTGGATGCTCAACCGACTGAGCCACCCACGTGCCCCAAATTATGCCCAGTTCTGTGCCTTGCGTTATTAACGCCCTCACTGGCACCCTTTGGAAATAGCACTTATTATGATGAGCCTCGTATTTCCTTAAATGACTAACAACATACATTTTCTTCTTTCTCTAAGGACCCTATATAAGTCCACCAAAAAACAAAACAAAACAAAACAGAACAAAACAAAACAAAACAAAACAAAATAATGGTTCCAGGTCATCTAAAAGCAGCCCATCTGTGTATACATGCGTATGTGCACACACATGCACACACACACACACACACATTTAAATCTATGAGTTTATATAGACACCTCTGTTTCTGATCTAACACCACAAAATTCATTCTATCTGGTCTTCCCCTTTCTTAATTTGTAATTCCTTTTTCTGACAGAGATAAACCTTGCTTTCACTGTCCATAATAGACTTTCTGTTCAGTCCTAACACATGCATAAAATATTTTCAGAATTGCTAACTCATACCCATGAAAGACAGTTTCCTTGAGTATAATATTTTGTGTACATTTGTTGCTTATATAGACAAAATGCTATTTCCAAAAGTTACTCAGGATAATTCTGTTCTTTTCCACCCCCTTCAGTGTGGTTTAATTATTCATTAGCAACACAGAAAGTTTCATTCATTACTGCTTGTATTCCATTTTGCACCCCCAACCCCCCATCACCAAGCTTAAAGTGTTAAATATAGAGGGGTTTCAGTTACCATGGTTTCGCTTTTCGTGGTTTCAGACCATGGTCAACCATGGCTAGGAAGCCATGACCCTCCGTCTGCCATATTGGCAGAAGGTCAATAGTAGCCTAATGCTACATCACAGTGCCTGTGTCATTCACCCCGCTTTGTCTCCTCAAGCAGACATTTTACCATCTCACATCATCACAGGAAGAAGGGTGAGTACAGTATGATAAGATATTTTGAGAAAGACAGACAGAGACCACATTCGCATAAGTTTTATTATAGTATATTATTATTACTGTCCTATTTTATTAGTTGTTAATCTCTTACTGTGCTTATTTATAAATTACACTCTATTCATAGGTATGTATGTACAGGAAAAACACAGTATATATACTGCTAATATATAGTATTAGTATTACCTGTGGTTACAGTCATCCACTGGGGTCTTGGAACATATATTCCATGCATAAGGAGGGGCTATTGGAGTAGGATTGATACTCTACTCCGGGTGAACTTGACTGATGGGCAAACTCTAGATTTATTGAAGAAGGTGATTGACTTGTATATACTTTTCCTCTCTCTTCATAATTTACCTGGATTCTGGAGAGAAGCTGCACTGTGACGACCTGAAACCCACAGCCACATCATAGTTGCTTTTTAATCTTTTCTCTTTACCATTTCCCCCACCCTACTCTTGGTCTCATTTTTACACGACTTTCTAATTAAGAGAAAAACTGGTTCAAGGACTCCTCCCTAATACTTCCAATTTGGAAGGAAATCAGAATGAAGTCAAAAGGCTAAATAAAAGGTAGGAAGTGGGTGGGTGGAAAAAGAGCAGCCGGGGGCAAAAATACTTTATAAGGGGCGCCTGGGTGGCGCAGTCGGTTGGGCGTCCGACTTCAGCCAGGTCACGATCTCGCGGTCCGTGAGTTCGAGCCCCGCGTCGGGCTCTGGGCTGATGGCTCCGAGCCTGGAGCCTGTTTCCGATTCCGTGTCTCCCTCTCTCTCTGCCCCTGCCCCGTTCATGCTCTGTCTCTCTCTGTCCCAAAAATAAAAATAAATGTTAAATACTCTTAAAAAAAATACTTTATAAAATAGATAATACAGATTTCAATAGAATTAAGGGTCAGTGATATTCCTATTAATTTAGCGCTAATACAATGAAAAAGGGGCACGTCCTTCTAGTCTCTGACCTGGTTCGTTTGCTGCCTGATCAGTGCCAGGAAACACACAAAGTCAAAATGCCATTAAGATTACCAGGCTTTTAGGGGCACCTGGGTGGCTCAGTCGGTTAAGCCTCCGACTTCAGCTCAGGTCATGATCTCACAGTTTGTGAGTTCGAACCCCGTGTCGGGCTCTGTGCTGAAAGCCCAGAGCCTGGAACTTGCTTCAGATTCTGTGTCTCCCTCTCTCTCTGCCCCTTCCCTACTCACACTCTATATCTCAACAATAAATAAATGTTTAAAAAAAAATTAAAGAAGAAAATGGGAACCAGGAAACAAAAAAAAGATTACCAGGCTTTTGTCTAAGTGAATCTCTGGGGTTGGCAGGGCCTTATCCCTTATAAAGTTTAGTTACGTATCCTATTTCTTCTCATTCCTTAGTGCATATGTATTTATTTATTTATGTATTAATGTATTTATTTAATCATCTATCCACAGACACAGGCCTGAGTTCTTGTTCTGGGTGAAGGACTTTGCAGGAGATGTGTGACCGCTCCAGTGACCGAGTGTCCTTCTGCCCAGTTCCACAATCTGTTTTGTGACCACCCTCAACAGCCAATGCATCAACACCACAAAATTTGGGAGCTACGCCAATAGAAGCCATGCAATCATGCTGAGAACTAACCTTACAAAGAACAAGACTCGGTCGCCCGAGAAAGGGAGTGGTTTTGAACATCTCATGCCAGACCCTCTCCCCCTATTCAGACTTCAGAGAGAGAACTACCTACCTACAGGCCTTGCCTTAGTGCTTTTCCCCGAAGCAGTTCAAACAGCCCAGCCTGGACATGTATTTGAATCAGCATAAACAGAGTTCTCCAATTAATGGGGCAAAACAGCCTTGTGTCAGTCCTGGGAAACGATGGGCTGGAACAGCAAGGCTGATTCATCAGGCAGGTCACAACAAGGCCAATGCAAATTCTAAAATGTTTGTTTCACTCGAACTATGCTATGCACTGGCATAGTAAACACAACCTCAAAACGGTTACGTCAACTGCTGCAAACAACAATATAAACTTCAAAGTTCCCAGAGGTGGAAGTAAAAGAAAGATCAGCATAAACGTCAGAGCCAAGGATTTTAGGTAACGTTGAAAAGTAGGATTGAGTTTCAAACTTTAAAACGCAGGTATTGAAAATGTCAGTTTGTTGGTAACATGTTTCACTGAAAGAAAGATGCCTGACATACTGAATGTTGTATGTGCTTTATGTATTTATGAGCTGGGTTATGGTCTTTGTGGGAAGATAAGGCAGTTTGCATGGATGACACCTCTCTCTCTCTCTCTCTCTCTCTCTCTCTCTCTCTCTCTCTCCTTTCTTCTTCATTATAACGCACTGGGCAAAATAACTTTATTTTGTTTTACCTGGGATTCTGATTAAAGTTAACACAACTAATTGTGCAGGAACTGGACAGGGAATCCTTTTTATCAAAAAATAATACCGAACCTTCTTTGTTTTCGTTGGCGGTCTTACTTCTCTCTATCTGTTTGACAATTAAAGCTAGGATTTGGAACAAAATTCCCAGGAGAAATGTTATTTGTTATTTCTCTGGGGCTTGCATTAAAAAAAATGTTATTACAGTCCTTTATTTCAGGATTTTATTGTGGGGAATCCATATCTATCCAGTGCTTCTAAGGATTAGGAGGAAAGGTGTTTCCAAATGTCCTGATCTTATCTGTGCATCATCTGAATTATGCAAGGGCCCCACATTTATACATCAGGTTGGCTCTTCATTGGAGAATAGCTCGCATAAGGTTGTTGGTATTTCCTGCCCCTGTTAGGCCAAAATTACTGTAATAACAGCCTTTCTGGCTGGATTCAGGTACTTTGCTTCAAGCCCAGACCAGACTCAGGAAATGAAGAGGCATGTGTGAAAAGGAAAACTACTGGCGTGGAGGTTTGGGGGTGGGAAAGGGGAATTTCTCAATTTTTTCATGGCATCAAAATGGTCAGCATGGGTAAGTCATTAGGAGAGAAAGAAAGAACCGCTTTTAGTGGAAATTACCGCCGGTCAGATGCTCCACTGTAACTTCCGATACTGTGTAAATGGCCTGGGTAGAGCTGAGAGGCAGGAACCTTCCTCAGGCTAGGAGTTAGAACACCTAGTTTCTTTGAACGTATGTTGAAGGCTCATACAACTTGGCAAAGGTCTTCTCCAGGAAAAAGAATACAAATTAGAAATAAAAAATTAAGTATGATGGTGAATATCCATTTATAATGAGCAAAGAAATGCTAAGGATTACAAATGTTTAAAAGGCTGGCCAATGTCATTTATCTTACAAAGTCTGTAAAGGCAGCACAATATTTTTATTAGCCTGGCACACTTCTGTAATACTTTTCCCCAATTTTTTGGCTGCATACCCTTCAAAAGATAACAGTTTTGGAGTATTTTCTATAGAGGATGGGATGGTAAGTGAGTCTTAATATGCAAAAACTTGTTTCTCTTCCACTATTCAGACCCACCTACTTTCAGTGCCAGGTGCTATAGGACAACCTGTAACCCTAAAATCTTTGTGTGGAAGCCAGCAGAGTTGGGATGGGGTGTGTGTGTGTGTGTGTGTGTGTGCGCGCACACAGAGGGTTGGAGAGTGCATGCCCAAGCCAGTCCTACACTGGGAAGGCTTGCAATAGCTATTATACACATGAACCATTTCGGATCCCATACATGGATCTTATAAAACATTAACTATAGATATTCCCAACTCAACTTTTCCTTAGCTGGATCCTAAAAATGATCAAGGCCACCCAACATGAAGAGAAATGCAATGGAGGGGAAATTGGAGTAGAAAGAGATAGCAGTATTTACCGATTGTGCTTTAATCACCACTTGTGATTAAAATGTCTCACTCTTACAAGTTTTATAGCCACTATAACCGTGCGAACAAATTGGTGGGCCTCTTTCCCGTCCGGGATATTGGAAGAAGCCCATGCAAGAGGAGAGTCCTGACATTTATCTTCATTAGTTTTGCAGTAAATCTCCCTGTGGTCCTATGTGAATGTGAGCAAACGATTTAACTCTGTGACCTCAGTGTCTACATTTGTCTATTTCACTGGATCCCGGTGAGGACCAAATAAGATAAGTGCATATAATAGCTTCAAAAGAACAGACTCACCATTTTTGTAGGTCACTCAGTACGAGCTTTATGCTTGGGGAATATAGTTTACTGTCAAATGGATGAGTGGTTTGAACATTTCAGTATCTGGAACAGTAACTCCTATTCCGAAGGTGCACTTTAACTCTTTCCAAGTAATTATCCACTCTCAGCACCCCGGAAGCAGCAGTGGAAACTAAAAGTTTGGTGGAGCTGGTACAGAGAGGATCTGAAGATTTTGAAATTTGTTTCCAGTCTTATTAGGTAGCCTGTCGATTGGTTGGTGCTGGTCTTTTAGATGCATCTTGGGTGTATGGTGTTGTGTGTGTGTGTGTGTGTGTGTGTGTGTGCAGGAAAGCTTCCAGAGTCTGAGGGGTTTCCCTCAGAGAGAGAGAGAGAGAGAGAGAGAGAGAGAATTTCATTCTAGCAGGACTGAGTGAATTCAAAATGGGGCCTTACTGCTGGCGGATAAGGTAGGGAGGAAGGCGAATGATGAAAAGTTGGCTCACGCACACGTGCGCACACACGCACACACACACACTTTTATTTTCCTGTTTGGTCCACACAATGAAGTTGATCCTATCTCTTACCCTTACCCTTTCTCTGAACCCATCTACTTGGTGCTTTATAAATAAATCACTGTCCGTCATCAGCCATACACCTTGTATCTTTGGCCACTTTTCAGGATATGTACTTCACCTTCCGGACCTAGCTGAAACTTTGCTTTCCCCTCAAGGCACTGATTCTTGTGCATCCCTCTCGCATGGGGCAGTTTCTTTCAT